CAATGAAATCATCCTGTCAACTTTGAAATAAATTATTTTTTAAATCCCCTATCTACTCGATTTTGCATATATAAAAAGTACTTTTATATATTCCATTGATTGAGGCAGTTGTTATTCCAAAGAGACATTTTCTCTAAGAGTCTGTCAAAGAAATAATAATTGTATGATAATTATGTTATAATTTTTTAAAACAATAACTAAAAATTTTAATTAAAAATTTTAAATAACTTTAATACAATTTATAATATTTATTAATTAGTTTTTAATAAAATAATTCCTTTTTAATCTATTTTATAATTCTAAAATAATAACAGGGTTCTGGGCCCTAGTGATTGGCTTTTCCCAGTGTGTACTGAGTTAGTGAAGTGTTAGAGATATTCAGAAGTTTCATAATGCTGATGTTGGAGATCAGACAAATAAATCATCTCCCTGTTGGTTTATTACACATGGTTTTGTGTCTTTATTTCCAAGGGCACCAGTTAAACTACAGCACATTTGTCTGTAAAATAACAAGTTGGATCATAGGATCAGTCTACTTGAAGTGAACACGCAACCAAGAAAACACAAAAAGACTTGATTTCTGCCAGATGAGTGTTTAAGGTAATAGCAGTTACATGGCATTATTCAAGCATTCAGTGTGTATGAGTAAATGAATAATCCCATCTATATACTTAGATCTATTCTATATATTCTTACAAAGGTAAAGGCTGATTGTAGAACAAAAATAAAATGAAAATTAAGAGTTTCACATTGTGTAAAAGTTGTGCACTAGGCTGAACTTAGGTAGAGTATATAATCATTTCTGGAAAGAGAGGAGTGGGAGGTAACATTTCACTACCACCAAAATAAATCAATCTTTGAAAACAGGATATACCCCTGCTTTAGGATTTAGCACATAGTACTTGTTTACCTGTCTGTCTCTCTCACTAACATTGTGACCTCTGTACATTCATTGCAGCAGATTTAGTATCTAGCAAAGCTCCTCGCGTATGCTCTATTCAATATCCATATCTTGACAAAAGTAATGAAGTGGGGCCATTAAGAAGCTTGTAATGAGACTCTCTTGAGTCCTAAGGAACATGCTCTAATCTTCAGGTACGACTGAGCAAATGGATAGAATTAGTGATACAGACAAGAGTAAGAGTTAGTGATGTTTGCCCAGGTAAGGTAAACAGTGACGAAGTAAGATAAAAGGGGGAAGAATACGCTAGTTTATTTAAAAATACCTGTTGTCACCATACACAACAAATAAAATTCATTTTAATGTAAAAAGTATGGGGCATTGGAACCTAAAATACGAATAAGAGCTCTGGGAAGTGGTGCTACTCTATGTTGTATGTTCAGAA